CCAAGGATATGCCCAGAAGTTCAACCCAATCTCTTGTCGAAGACTCAACTACTACTTCTCTATAAGAAGAATGAGCCGAAGGCGACTGAACGGAAGGATGCAAGCTCAGCTACTTTTATGAGCCCGGCTATTACCGTGCAGTCTTCAGCATTATCGTCCTGTACAGCTCCTGTGAAAAGAAAGGAGAAAGAAGTTATAGGAGCTGCTACGATTATAGAGAAGGCCGAAATATTGGACGATGTTCAGCTTCATGCGGTTGGTGATGGTCTTCATTACATTGTCATCAAGGCGAAAACTAGTAGTCTAGAAGGCTGTTAACTACAAGAGTTTGAGTGCACTGCTCTCCGGAATTGTGATAGCAATCTGGAGGGAGTCTTGACTAACGGTAGTCATACTGAACCTGTGGGATATTCATGCAATCTTAGTATGACTATGGATGAACGACATACTCTGAATCTTGATAAGATGTATGTTCTACCATATGACTCTGGCCCTAGGATTATCTCACCGATTAATGCATTGGCTAGGCCCAATACTACATGCAGCATCAATGCGAACGGTAAGAGTGTCCTTATTTCCGGCCGCCAGGCAGAAATGGTTCACGAGCATCTTAGCCTAAGATTCTTAGGTTAGCTGGTGCTTACACAAGTTGTCGTAATCGAGCTGTTGAACGACGGTTTCTCAATAACGTTATTTGTGAAGCAGTCCATGATGATACTCATTTCAAAGGATTCCTTTGAAAGGAAGGAGCTTTACCGAAGAGTTCCAGAGTGGTGATTATATCTAGCCTATTCCACGATTACCCCAAGGATTATCTGAGAAATCATTTCAGGATATAGCTATCGAACTTGTTCCTGACCAAGAAGCGATAGATGGCAGGGTCGTTGTGGGTACGCCTTCGATATCAAATAAGAGACCTCCTGCAAACTTAAGAACCGGTCGAATCATCTAGTATGGCTGATTGTGCCAAAATCAGCCATTGTGAAGATTATACATCAAACCTATAAACCCCGCTCCGCATAGTCAAGGAATTCATCACCCAAGTTGGGCAGTTGGGTGATGAGAAAAAAGGGCAGAAAGGGCAGTTGGGGTCCAGGGGATGTATGCGGGAAGTGCTACAGTGAGTCACTGTCAGTGATATGCTTAGACCGTTCAACCATCAACGATCATCCATAGTAGAGTTAAGTAAGTTGTAATTCAATCAAGGTGAATCGAGACACCATAGCGAACTACCACGGCGGTATTGGTTCGCTTCAGCAACACCACATGGAGACTTTTCAGTATTAATGTTCATCTCGAGTGTATCACGGGGATACACGTTGTCCATGACTGAGAATCATATTTGTCAATGTCTACTCGACGAGTAGACTACTCGGAGTAGTACTTGTTATAGAGTTCCGTGTCTTCCACACATGATACTAGGTATATCACGGCATTTTAAATGCCGATGATGACATTGAATAGTTTGGTTATTAAACCATTCACTGTCGTCCTTCGTGCTCGAGC